TCTTCTTCGTAAAACCAAAAGAAGACCTTACAGGGGGAACTATGGCAGCAAAAACGTCACCACCACTATGCGACAGGAGCGGCATAGCCGGTACCAGAGCCCCAGAAGGACTCGGTACCGGAGCTCCAGAAGAACTCGGTACCGGAGCCCCAGAAGAACTCGTATCCGACGACCACCTACTACAAAGAGGTCAAGACCAAAGTCAAAACAAAAAAAGGGGTTCAACAACAGGAAAACAAGAAAACAACTCACCGACGCGTGACAAGGGCCGCATCATCATCCTCTTCTTCCTCATCCTCAACCACGGCAACCATAGCGCCATCTGAAAAAGGGGAAAAGTACTCGGTTAAAGGAGCAAACAAACAAAAAGAAGACAAAGCGTATTAATATGCTCACCTAGGAGCATGCTACCTAGAACTTGAGTACCTAGACGAGTACTCATCTGGCAAGGCTTCTTGGTACCAGGCAAACCAGAAGAAGGACCAGCCGCTCGCCCCCTCTTTCCAACAGTACGAGGAGCTCGAGGAACTGGACGAGGAACATACTCTGCATATACATCAAGGTTCGTGGAAGAAACGCTAGGAAATATCGTGGTGGTTTGAAACTTACTGGTTAAGGATGCCCTAGCAAGATTCTCCTCAGTATTCACCACGGCAGGGAGGTCATCAAGAGGAATCGGATCAGTGAAGTTACGCCCCAATTCCTATAAAAGAGTAAAACAAATTAAGTAAAAAGTGGATACAGCAAAGGAAATACAAAAAGTACCCGCATAAAAAAAACAATTTACAGCAGGAGGCGGGTTGTTAGCACTATATTCAAGTACAGCAAGCGAGACGACGGTTACTCCTTTCAGCATCTTCTGAAGACGCTCGAGCACCTCCTCATCAGTCAACTGAAGGGCAGGGACCATATGAGAAGGGTCTTCTGCCCCAGAGTACTCAAACCCAAAATGCTCCCGCTCCTTCAGAGGCTGAACTCGGCGACGAAGAAAACTAGAAATAATCCCGAAGCCGGTCAAGCCTTGCTGTTTCAGAGTACAAATCCTCTCAAGAAACGGCTTGATCGCTTGGGCCTCAGCCGTCGACACAGGATTCTTATCCCATCGGACCAGATCCAGAATGAACAGCAAGAGGAGGAATCAAATTGGCGACGTAAAACCAGTCGACACGCCAATCCCTCATAGAATCAACCAAGTCATAGTCGAAGAATTTGCTCTTAAGACCCTAGCGAAACTGAATCCCACAGCCACCAAGAACGCTGGTGTCATCGCGGCGGGGTTAGGGCTTCAGACGAAAGAAGTAACGAAAGAGAGAAAGAGAAGGGGGAATTCCAAGGAAAGTTTCACAAAGATGAACAAAGACAGAAAGATGAAGGACAGCATTGGGAGCAAGATAATTCAGGCTAATCCCAAAATAACTAAGAAATTGGTGAAGAAAAGCAGAAGCCGAAAGGCAGAGTCCGGCACGGATAAAGGAGAGGAAAAGAATAATCTCACCAGGACCTGGAGCGAGGACCCGGTGCTCGCCTGGAGCTCTCCAATCAGCAATATCCTTGCTCTGGATCAGACCATCACTGACGAGCTCGCACAGCTGATCCTCAGTTGTAGTCGGAGCTGGCCAAACCTTCTGAGCAGCCCTCATGGCCATGAACTCTTGATTCTCAATTACAGAGAGTGATGCCTCCTCGTCCACAAAAGCTGCATGGGACTTGCTCGCGGCCTTCTTCCTACCCATATGCTAGCGGAAGCAATAAAGCACTAGGGAAAGATGAGGTTCAGACGGCGGCGCTCAGATGACGGCGACAATGGTGGCGGCGGATTTCTGAAGACTAGGGTTTCAAGGCAAAAGCGGAGAAGTAAAGAAAAAGAAGATGAAAGGCCTTTAAATAGATTTTACAGCAGTATAACGCAGCCCACCGGGCCCGTTTTAACACGACATGAGAACGCAACGATCCATTTACTGACACAGCTAAAACGATGGACGACACAAATCCACACAACGGTACAGTTTAACAGGCAGATGTCAGACTTATCCATCCAGCACCACGGCGGAGTTATCATATTGCTACAAAAAGAACTCATCAACCATGAAGCAATGAAGAGTTACCTCACAGGGAACATAAGAACCCGGTTCTTATAAAAAGAACTCGGAAATCTCATAAACAACCAGGACTTCACCAGAAAAGAATGACAACTCAGAATCAAGACCCTCCAATTCTTTGTTCTAAATAGCAAGAGGCTTGGGGGCTACACTCAGTGAGTGCACTTTTTCTTCAAAAAAGCGCACATCACTCAGAAGACTTCCTCAAGACATCAGTTTTCAAACAACATAAGATTCAAGACCCTCCAACTTTTTGTTCCAAATAGCAAAAGGCTCGGGGGCTACACTCAGTGAGTGCACTTTTTTCTCCGAAAAAGCGCACGTCACCAAAAAGACTTCTTCAAGACAGATCACTTCAAGACCTCACGACAAAAAGAACCCGGACCTAGCTATATCCGAGCTCTTTTTGATAAAGAACCTGGGTATATGCTCAGGAACCCTTCAACGAAGAATCAGAGTGAATTCAAAAGAAGACCCTCCAGCTCCTTGTGCCAAAAAGCAAGAGGCTCGGGGGCTACACCCAAATAAGAGTACTTTTTTTCTTCAAAAAGGTATACATCACGCGAAGATCTCACGAAGCGCTATACGGTTTCGCTCAAGAAAGCACCCGGACGACGCTTGTTCCTGCCTGGCAAGACCTGAAAGAATAAGACAAGGCTTCCAGAGCTCAACCATGAAGTGCTCGGGGGCTTGTCGGTGCGGGACCCACGGGATACCCCGCAAGGAAGGGAGAAGATCTAGTCTAACTAGGATTCTTTCCATGTAATCTTAGTAGTAGTATTATTTTATAATCCTACAAGAAACTCTCATTGTAAACCGACTAGAATTCTGACCTCCTAACTATAGAAAGGAGGGCAGGGTTCCTAGAGACGGGAGGATCACTACTTTTACGACTGCAACGACACAACACCAGACAATAAATACAATGCAAGGGCTAACGCCGACTGGACGTAGGGCTATTACTCGATCAGCGATCGAGGGTCCGAACCAGGATAAATCGACTGTCTCTTGTGTTTACAGTCGAGTTCCGCATATGCTGAAGCCCGAACATACTGCCCCGGGGACCCCCGTGGCAGGCTATCGGTGGTCAAACATCGACAAGATCTTCCAACAAACTCCCGTATAAGATAAATTCATTTCCATTAACAAACTCAAAACTGGTTTATCTAAAAACCTCTTTAAAATTCATTTAGCTAAAACATATTTATACGTTAGAGATGCAAACAGGTAAACCACTAAGTGTGCTAGTTAGGCCACGTTTGGAGTACATTAGGTTCGAAAATGACTTTGTATTATAGTTGATATCGTATATACACGTATCTATGGGTTTATGGGTTAGGATAGTGTTGAACTATAGCCATACCTACGTACTCAATGGATACAACGACACTGCTAGTGTCCGGATGTCCAGACAGACGCCCGCGTCCGGACACCCGTAGCAGCAGTCCGTTTTTGCGCGCCCACGCGTGGGCCCATGCTTGCGTCTCGCGCACCCACGGTGGGCCCGCGCAGCCGGAACGTCACCCGCGCTGCGCGTTCGCGGGGACCGCTCGCACCCCTCACACTTCATCCCATATGAAACACCTGAGCTATTTTTGAAACATCCAGATGCAACACTTGCAACATATAAAAAAGACACATGAAACACTTGAAACATGCGTCTGAAACACTTGCAAAAACACTTCGCAACATCAAGATAAAACACTTGCAACACATGTGTGAAACATATGCAACATCCAAATAAACAAATTGCAGCATACGTCTAAAAACAGATGAAACATTGAGGACAGACGTTTGCAACATATGCAACATCCCGATATAGCTTTGCAACATCCGTATGAAACAATTGCAATATGCCTCTAAAACATCTGAAACATTTGAAATGTGTGTTTGCAACATGCATCATATCCTGGTGCGGCATCCTCCGCCGTCTGCATCGGGGCGCCGCAGCCGTAGCAGGAAGCGAGGCCGGAGGGCTTCCGCGCCGGGGGAGGGCTTCCGCGCCAGGGCCCGATGCTTCTCCTTGCGCTGGCAACGATGTCGACGTCGTCGAGTGGTGCAGGCAGAGCAGGAGCAGCGGGACGGGCAACGGAGCAACGACAGGTGCAGCAAGGCGGGCGCGCGGAGCAGTGACAGGGAGCAGCGTGGAGCAGGTGCAGGAGCAACGACGGTGGAGCAGGAGCAGGCAGGGCGGGCGGTTAGAGCAACGGAAGGGATGCGGGGCGCGGCGTATAGCGGGATGGGGTCGGGTGCGGCGCCTCCACGCTGGAGAAGGCCGCGGCGAGCGGACCCCGCAATGAAGGCTGCTGCTGCGGTCGCACGCATGTGGCATGATGGAGGAGCTCGCGGTGGTCACATGCGTGCAGCGGTGGGGAAATAAAATGTTGCCGCCCTTTTTTCGTTTTAGAGAAACGTGGTGGTGGTGGAGCCGAACAGGCATTTTGGGTCCGATCGCTGTACTGGCCTGCGAACAGGGCGTGCGGACAGATGCGCTAGGACGGGCATCCTCACTAGAGCATTATCGAAGATATAAATTTTTTCTATTAATTAATATACATATAGGTAAAGGTAAGTAAATTAAACCATTTCATATCCTAATGAGGTAAAAATTCATCTCGTTTTGGATCACAGGTACCCATTGCCATCTCTTATTCTCTTAGTCCCACGGCGCCGGGCCGCGGCGCGCAGGTAACGCGGGAGATGGGAGCCGGCCGCCCGCTGCCGTCCTCGTTCGCATCGCAGAAATGTGATCGCACGAGGCCTGAAGTGTGTTGAGCGGCTGCCCCCGGCCGGCCGAGCTCCTTGCACCTAACGCCACTGGTGGTATTTTATTAGCCTGTCGCAACTTGCAAGGACGTGCTGCCGATCGACTACTCTTGCGGCCGGACTCGGTTGTGCGCCATGGCTCTGGACGCGAGGTCCCTTCCGGTAGTGTCCGGCCCCGCCCTCGAAGTCTGCTCGGGGATGCCGAGAACCTGGAACGGTGGCGGCGTTTCGTCCGCGACGGCCGGCGCGGCGGAGGTGTCCGTCGTCGTGGACGTGCCGGCGCTGTGGAGCGACGAGGGAAGGATGAAGCGGGAGCTGGTCCCGTGGGCCAAGGCCGTGTCGTCCATGGCCATCAGGAAAACGATGATGCAGTGCTGACTGCTGAAGACCTGAAGTGCTGATTAAGGCGGATCGGAACTTCCTTCATGCATAGAGCCCTGAGGATGCCACATCTCTTTGTTTTTTTTCCTCGTGCTGCTGGGTGCTTTCTTTGCCGAGCAAACCAATTCACGCGACGAAGCATGGCGGCGGCGGCGGCTTTGTACATGTTCGGTTGATCATTTGGGCTTGTACATACATGTTCTTTTTGGAAAGGATGCAAGAGAGAGCTTCAGATGTTTTGTCGCACGGAATATATATTTTGGTATATTTTGGATGTGTCCTGCGTTTTGTTTTCGCTCAAATTGTCACGCTGGGTTGAATTGACAGTGCGTGTGCGGAAAGATCTAACCTGGAGTTTGAGCTGCTGGTTTCTGTACGCAGACTGTACACTGCATGCGCGCGACCGATCGTTGACACTGACAGTTGAAGCTAGGCCTGGACAAAAAACTCATAACTCGCCGGCTCGTTTGACTTGCTTGTTAGTGGCTCGGCTCGAGCCAGCTCGGCTCGTTTGAATTTTTAAACAAGTTGAGCCAGCACTTTAGCTCGATTAATTAACAAGACAGCTCGATCTAGCCCGCGAGCCGCTCGCGAGCCAAAATGAGCCAAGGTAAATCAGATGATAGCAACTTGAATCAGCCCATATATGCTATGGCCCATTGACCCAATATGATAAAACTCTAGCCCCCAACTTTCACGCTCCCACCCCTAGGCCCTAGACTTCCCCCATCCGCTGTTCCGTACAGGCGTAGCCGTAAACACATGCACGTTCGGCGGTTTCCCTCCTGAGCCGCAGCACGCGACACACGCGTAAGTCGTCCGACGCCTACTGTTCGCTAGGGCCTTGCAATCGTAGCTTTGCTTATTCTGTTGCAAGCCAACGCATAACAACAAGCATTAGCTTTTGTTTTTTTCTTAATTTTCCCAAACCAGCATCAAATCATCCGTCTTCTTATTTATTTTGTTTTTCCAAAATCAGTACTCGTCTCTGTCTTTTGCTAGATGAATAACCTCAACATGAAGAAAAAAATTTAAGTTAGCTCACGAGCCAAACGAGCCAGCTCGAGCTACCAAGCGAGCTGAGCCAAGCTGAGCTTCTAGCTCGTTAGTATAACGATCGGAGCCAAGCCAGCTTGATAATGAGCCAAGCCATAACGAGCCGAGCTATAACAAGCTGAGTTGGCTCGATATCAAGCCCTAGTTGAAGCAAGTGCCCGGCAGAGGGCAGAGGCAGCACACTGCTCACTGTTATGCGTCATCAGCTCGGCGGTGGCAACCGCGCCCTCCGCCATCTCGTAAGTGCTGCTCCTATTTTGCGCGTGAGAGTAAGTACAATGATGATTTTATTATAGTCAGATATAGAAGAAAAATAACTTAGTTCTCAAACAAATAACAAGGTGAGCACTTGCATTTTCGTGTGCGTTTTTCCACAGAATTAGCTAGCTTGCATCATATTGATGACAGTTGGCTTGAGTTCAAATGAGTCGTTGTTACAACCAAATACGTCGTCGTTGTAATGTTTGGACCATAGATGCACCAATTTGACAAGTTGTTGCACCATGTTGATGAGAGTTGGCTTGAGTTCAAATGAGTCGTTGTTACAACCAAATACGTCTTTTTCAAATGAGTTCAAATATGCACATTCACTATCAAAGGAGTCGCTCAAGATGCCGTGTTACTTCACCTCTTCCCATTCTCCCTCTTGGGGACGTCATCGTTGTCACGTTTGGACTATAGTGCACCAATTTGCCAAGTTGTTGCACACACTTGCCAAGTTGTCACACTAAATTGAGTATTCTATAAGTTTTTTTTTGAAACGAACCGGCAGGAGAGCTGCCCGCTATATTAAAAAGAAGGAACGTCCAGACGGACACTGTACAACTCAGTCAACTCGACTCTGTACACAACTAGAAAAACAAAAAACACAATAAACACAATTGAAAACTAGGAGAGAAGTTGAAGGAAAGTAGAAAGGTGCTTTGCTCCCGCCAAGATCCACAGTCTCGCCTCGTCTTTGATTCTCTGAAGAACCGTAACATTGGTGGACTCTGTGTGCTCAAAAACTCTCGAATTCCTCTCCTTCCAAACTTCCCAGCAAACTAGTATAATGAGCGAACGTAGGCCTTTCCTCCTCGTACTCGGCGCATTTGACATCGCCGTCCACCCGTTCTCAAGTGTCTCGCTATGTGGCCATGCACTCGGGTGTAGGTTGGAGTTTTGTGTCCAGGTGGCAATTTCCTTCCAGAGGCGCTTCGTGAATCTGCAGTCCCTGAAAAGATGCAGGCCTGTCTCCGCATGAAGCCGGCATAGTGTGCAGGTTTCTTGGTTTGGCCACCTCCGAGCTTCCAATCTATCAGCGGTCCAAACTCACCCACCTTTCAAGTGGTTGTATGGTGGGTGCAATTTACTCAATAAAAAAGAGATAACTATTATATAGCTTAGCCCTTACAATTTGACCTATAGCTAAACACTTACCTTTATTATTAGGCTTGCTCTAACCAAACGCCATCGTCGCAATAATTCGACTCAGGCGATTTATCAGTTGATTGGTTCCTCGCCAAGCCCATGGCGTACGCCGAGTGCAGGATGTCCTGGAATCTCTTCGAGCATTATCCTCGCTCACTTCGTCCAGAACCTCTGGACCAGGAGGTAGTTTTCGGTTGGTAATTGAACACAGACATGTGTCAAGTATACATATCCCTCTTGTCTTTATTTTCCTGATCATTCTTGAAGCGTCTTATTATTGGATATTGAAGTAATCTGCAGTGATGTTGACGAACTCTTACAACAAGGCCTACATAAATTATAGAGAAAAGAAGCAGAGAAAAAATGGAACAAAATTTTTTGATATAATCACTAATCTCTAATACATGGTTGGACTGTATTTTCAAGTGTATTGAAGGAGTATATATGGCCCCAAGAAAACCAACTAGCCATTGCTCTAACGGTCACAAATTTTTATAAGCACCAAATAATACGCTAACCCCAAAACAATATGTTAGAAATATAGGCAAATTCAAGTTTAATTTAATCCGTAAAAGAGATATAAACAAAATACTCATGATATCATATATGTGTTTGTTCAAATGAAATATCACCATGGATATTAGCTAACCAGTAAGACATGATACATATTATTGTCCGAATAAATCACGACCATCATATAGTTAACACTAACCAGCAAGATTGTAATAGAGATCATATAATTAACAAGACGGGTGAAGTGATTATACCCTGTAGCAGAGCCGGATGCACCAAACATGATGCCTGTCGTTGTAGTCGTCCCGCTCGATGCAGTGAAGAACAGAAGCCGTGCAGATCACCCGACGAAGACGAACAACAACTCACGTCGGGAACAGGGAGGGGACGAAGCGAGTAGTCGTGCCGCTTGCGGACACTCCCCAAAAATGTGATGGCCGCCCTTCACCCGAGCAGATGAACTCAATGAGCGGAGACGTTCCGGAGGCTCTACTCTTCCATCTCGTGTGCGCGCAGGAGACGGAACGGGAAAAACTCTTTAGACAGCGAGAACTTTTGGTTTTCGTAATCGCTAGTAAATGGACCAGGCGATGGAGTTAGGAATATATCCCACACACGGATGGGAAGGCGAGCGGACTAAGGGAGACTAGGAGGTAGCAGATACGATGAATGCTAGAGAAGGAAACTCCTATATTCATTTGCCAATTAATTAATGGAATGAAAAGACCTTCTGTAACTTACGTAATCAAGAATTCTAATTGGCAAGATGGAATACTGAACGCTTGTTGCCTTCCTGCATGCCTAGTCACGTCCAAGGCCCAGCCGATCCCCAGCCTCATGTGGCTACGGTTGGTCCATATCACATATTGGTACTAAACCAATAAATATTATTTAATACAAATCATAGAATTTATTAATTATTGTATATATTATATGGGCCTAGACCATAATATACCAACAATCCCCACCAAACTCTAGGGTTTGTAGAAAATAATCTCAAAAACCATAGTTCTTTGATATACCAGAGTTTCAACGGGGACTGTTAAGTTGAACACCCGTCTAGAACAAAGGCTAGGCTCATGCACAACTGAACAATGGACTATACCTTGAATTGACAGTTTTGTGTGAATTGAGTTTCACCAAAGTTCTTTTCATGGTACTTGGCTGTTACAAGTATCCCCTCTGTTTGAAGCATATAAGTCACACTTCCTAACCTTTCATGAGTGTCTAGAGATGACCCACATCTCATAGATTGTGACTAGCAATCGAACTCATATAGGTGTATTCCTTTAAGGATGTTCTGTAGGACAACATCCCTGCTTAATCAAGCCACTCGGATCACATTAAGAACTTAATCAACCTGCCTTACAGCTTTGGAGAAACGGTGCATCTCAAATGAGCCAAACTTTGTTCTAAGGAGTCTCTCCCTCAGTCATCCACTAGCTTGTTTCACCATCCTAATTCACGGGATCTCCGATCAAATAGGACAGGTTACCACTATGGAATGACTTCAAGTGGGTCTCAAGCCCAGCTCCCACGACGCACCTTCTATCACATTACGTGACAGACCCTTAGTAAACTGATATGCCAGATTCTTAGATGTGTGGACATAGTCCAATGCAATTACTCCAGAGTTTCTCAATTTTTTGACAGTCTTCATATGCCTATTTACATGCCTTGTGGACTTCATGTTGTCCTTAGAACTGTTCACCTTGGTTATCACAGTTTGGTTGTCACAGTTCTTAAAAATAGCCGGTATAGGTTTTTCCACTACCGGTAAATCCATAAGGAGCTCACGAAGCCACTCAGCCTCAACGCCAGCAGTATCCAATGCTATCAGTTCTGCTTCCATTGTAGACTTCGTTAAGATAGTCTGCTTGCAAGACTTTCAGGAAACAGCACCACCTCCAAGCAGGAACGCATATCCGCTCGTGGCGTACAGCTCATCATCATCAAATATCCAATTAGCATCACAATAACCCTCCAGTACCCTTGGATACCCGGTAAAGTGAATACCA